TGTGTGTCTGTGTGAGTGTGTCTCTCTGTGTGTGTGTCTGTGTGTGAGTGTCTCTCTGTGTGTGTGTCTGTGTGTGAGTGTCTCTTTGTGTGTGTGTCTGTGTGTGTGTCTCTGTGTGTGAGTGTCTCTTTGTGTGAGTGTCTTTGTGTGTCTGTGTGTGTGTGTCCTGTGTGAGTGTGTCTCTCTGTGTGTGAGTGTCTCTTTGTGTGAGTGTCTCTGTGTGTGTGTCCCTGTGTGTGTCTGTGTGTGTGTCTCTGTGTATGTGTATGTGTGTGTTTGTGTGTGTGTCTGTGTGAGTGTCTCTGTGTGTGTCTCTGTGTTCTCTGTGTGTGAGTGTCTGTGTGTGTGTGTGTCTGTGTGTGTGTCTCTGTGTGTGTGTGTCTGTGTGTGAGTGTCTCTGTGTGTGTGTCTGTGTGTGAGTGTCTCTGTGTGTGTGGTGTGTCTGTGTGTGTGTCTGTGTCCTGTGTGTGTCTGTGTGTGTGTCTGTGTGTGTGTCTGTGTGTCTGTGTGTGTCTCAGCCGTGCCTGAGTGCTCCGACTGTCACCTTGATGCTCCACAAGGATGCGACGCTGGAGGAGGGTGGTGAGGAGGGTGGTGAGGAGGGTGGTGAGGAGGGTGGTGAGGAGGGTGGTGAGGAGGGTGGTGACGAGGGTGGTGACGAGGGGTGGTGACGAGGAGGAGGAGTGTGGTAGTGAGCGTGAGGACTACAAACATGACGACAAAGATGGCTACGAGAATGACGACGACGATGACGGTGATGGCGGCGATGACGGTGATGGCGGTGGCGACGAGGGAGAGCGGTGGGAGCTGTCCGTGCGGGTCTCCATGAGGAGCGAGTGGAGGAGGAGGATGGCGCAGAGTGACGTGCTGTACCATCTAACAAGCCGAGGTCTCCACAAGGAGGGGTGTGACTAGCACGGTGAGAGTTGGGTGGTGGGTGGGGTGTGGTGGGGTGGGTGGGTGGGTGGGTGTGGGTGAGTGGGTGGTGGTGGGTGAGTGGGTGTGTGGTTGGTGGGGGTGAGTGGGTGGGTGGGTGGGGTGAAGTGGTGTGGGTGGGTGAGTGGGTGGGTGATGTGGGTGGGTGAGTGGGTGGGTGAGTGGGTGTGTGGGTGGGGTAGTGGGTGTGTGGGTGGGTGTGGGTGTGAGTGGGTGGTGGGTGGAGTGGGTGGGTGAGTGGGTGGGTGAGTGGGTGTGTGGGTGGGTGAGTGGGTGAGTGGGTGTGTGGGTGGGTGAGTGGGTGGGTGGGTGTGTGTGTGTGTGAGTGGGTGGGTGGGTGGGTGGGTGAGTGGGTGGGTGGGTGGTGAGTGGGTGGGTGAGTGGGTGGGTGAGTGGGTGGGTGAGTGGGGGGTGGGTGAGTGGGTGGGTGAGGGGGTGTGTGGGTGGGTGGATGAGTGGTGGGTGAGTGGGTGGGTGGGTGGGTGAGTGGGTGGGTGGATGAGTGGGTGGGTTGGTGAGTGGGTGGGTGAGTGAGTGGGTGGGTGAGTGAGTGGGTGAGTGGGTGAGTGGGTGGATGAGTGAGTGAGTGGGTGGGTGGGTGGGTGAGTGGGTGGAGTGGGTGGGTTGGGTGAGTGGGTGGTGGGTGGGTTGGGTGAGTGGGTGGGTGGGTGGGTGAGTGGGTGGGCGGGTGGGTGGGAGAGTGAGTGGGTGAGTGGGTGGGTGGTGATGCTACTACTACTGATGACGATGCTATTGCTGCTGCTGCTACTGAATGTCCAGAAATGGTGAGTTCTGTCAGCTTCCACTTCCATGCTGAACTGGATGGATGGGTTTTGCGAGTTGAGATGATTTAGAAACGCGCTCAGTCTATCTTTGCCGTGTGGCCAGACCACCAACGTGTCATCCACGGAACCCGGCACACTGAGACCATCTGCTTGCTCCTGCCAGGAGCGCTTTGTGGGATGGTCGCTACCGCCACGCGCTGCCTCAGCCTGCAGGCGCTGCTGAGTACTGCGTCCGCGTGAGAGTCGCGGCTCGCTACCCGCGGTGGAAGACAGGGGAGTGGTCTCCACTGTCGTGTGTCTCCGTCCCTCCACCACACAGCGCCGTGGGTGAGTGGGTGGGTGGGTGAGTGGGTGGGTGGGTGAGTGGGTGAGTGAGTGGGATGGTGAGTGAGTGGGTGGGTGGGTGAGTGAGTGGGTGGTGAGTTAGTTGGTGGGTGAGAGAGTGGGTGAATGAGTGGGTGAGTGAGTGAGTGGGTTGGTGGGTGAGTGAGTTGGTGGGTGGGTGGGTGAATGAGTGAGTGAGTGGGTGGGTGAGTGGGTGGGTGAGTAGGTGGGTGGGTGGGTGGGTGAGTGAGTGAGTGAGTGGGTGGGTGAGTGGGTGAGTGGGTGGGTGGGTGAGTGAGTGAGTGGGTGAGTGAGTGGGTGGGTGAGCGAGTGATTTGGTAAGTAGTTGAGTGAGTGGGTGGGTTAGTGGGTGGGTGAGTAGTTGACTGAGTGGGTGGTTGAGTGAGTGGGTGCGTGAGTGAGTGGGTGGGTGAGTAGGTGGGTGGGTGAGTGAGTGGGTGGGTGGGTGAGTGGGTGGGTGAGTGGGTGGGTGAGCGAGTGATTTGGTAAGTAGTTGAGTGATTGGTGGTTTAGTGGGTGGTGAGTATTGTGGTGGTTTGAGTGAGTGCGTGGGTGATTGATGGTGAGTGTTGGTTGGTGAGTGAGTGGGTGGTGAGTGGTGGGTGAGTGATTGGGTGGGTGAGCGAGTGATTTGGTATAGTTGTGATTGAGTGGGTGAGTGGGTGGGTGAGTGGCGCACCCATTTAGCCCTCTCTATCCGGCTGAACAAAAGCTGTTCAGACATGCGGTGGCTGGGCATGCAGGCTACATGGCCCAGCCAACGCAGCCTTGCCTGCCGGAGGCTCACCAATGGGACTTTGCCCAGATCTTTCTGGGATTTGTGAGCTCCTCACACAATCCAGCCTGCAGGTTAAACCCAGGATGGATCGTAGACAGGCCAGCCTAAATGTTTCTAACCGGCGAATATGTTCCATTAGGGGGGTCCACTTTTCGCATGCGTAGAGAAAGGGAGGGAATGACCGTGGCCGAGAAGACCTGAAGATTCGTGCGGAGTGACAAACCAGGTAGCTTCCACACAGTATTATGTAACCGATGAAAGGTAATGCCGCTCGACTGATTCGTAGTGAGACCTCAGCCAGTCATGAGCACACTGCCCAGGTATGGGAAACTTTCCACTCTCTCCACAACTCCTCAATCACCAATTGGGAGTTGTGGGGGTGGAGTGTCCAATGGTACAAAATACCCAGGCAGGTGCTTAGTTTTGGTGGGCTGATGGTAAGGCCCCACCTCTTAGTGGACGCTCCAGTCTCAGCAGCAGCGTCTCCAACTCCTCTTCTGATGAGCAGCTATTACCAAATCATCAGCATACGCAACATGGTTGAGCGATAGGGAGCCATCCCTTGACCGCACCCGGGCATCGATCAGCCTCCCATTGGTATCTGTAACAGATGGAAATTCCTCTGGTACAGCTATTGAAGGCTTCACGAACTATGTGTTAAAATAAATGTTAAATAATGTGGGAGCCAGAGGACATCCCTGTCGCACCCCAAGGTGTACAGGGAAAGGCTCTGACTCCCCCACGTAGTTTTATCCGGGCCCGCTCACCATCATGAAGGTCCTTAATGATCGTGAGCAGAGGGTCAGGGACTCCGAAAGCACGAAAAACTGCCCAGAGCCCAGGCCTACTGATGGTATCATAGGCCTTGACCAGGTCAATCAAGCAGAGATGTAGGTCTTGTTGGAATTCCCTACACCTCTGCTGTAGCAGACGGACAGAAAATATGGCATCTGTGCAGGACCGCCCTTTCCTGAAACCGCATTGGGGCTCCGCAAGCCTCTCCTCAGCGTGCCTGGCAAGGCGGTGTTGAACAACAACACACAGACAGGTACACACAGACACACACAGACAAATATCTCCCGTGTAGCCTTAACAGACAGTTGGGGCAAGTGCTGTTAGCGAGCACCTATGAAGGCCAGAACTTTACACGAGGGGTGGGTGGCCAGCACCACGCCCGGCCGCCTTTGTCTCCCCAGTGGCGATGTTTATACGCCGCACCAGGTACTCATTTTGAGGCTGAGGCGACCTAGGGGAGGCCCGGGAACGGTTTAGATAATCGTCACCGGTGTTGGCCGTGAGCGGGAATCGAACCTGGGACGCTGGGTTCATAGCGCAGTGTAGCGCTAACCGCTGCACCACCGCTCCTCATCCAACAACACTGCAGCATCCCCACTCTGTCTGTGTCTCTGTCTGTGTCTCTCTGTGTCTCTGTCTGTGTCTCTGTCTGTGTATCTGTCTCTCTGCCTGTATCTGTCTCACTGTGTCTCTGTCTGTGTCTCTCTGCCTTATCTGTCTCACTGTGTCTCTGTCTGTTTCCCCCGTGACTCTGTCTCCCCATGTCTCCCCGTATCTCCTCGTGTGTCCCCAATCTCGTAGCCACCACCCCCCCACCACCACCACCACCACCCCCCCACCACCCCCACCACCGCTGCCACCACCACCACCACCCCCCCACCGCTGCCACCACCACCACCCCCGCCACCACCACCCCGCCACCACCGCCACCACCACCCCACCACCACCGCCACCACCACCCACCACCACCCACCCCATCCCCACCACCACCACCGCCACCACCACCGCCGCCACCACCACCACCACAACCCCCACCACCACCACCCCCACCACCACCACCACCCCCACCACCACCGCCACCACACCCCCCCCACCACCACCCCCACCACCACCACCCACCACCACCACCACCCCACCACCACCCCACCACCCCACCGCCACCACCCCACCACCACCACCACCCCCACCCCCCCACCACCACCCCCACCACCGCCACCCCACCACCACCCCCACCACCCCACCACCCACCCCCCCCACCACCACCCCCACCACCACCCCCACCACCACCACCCCACCCCACACCCCCCACCGCCACCCCACCCGCCCCATCCACCTCGCGTGGTGTCCACGGGGGACGTGGTGACGCTCTTTGCCAGCGGCCGTGTCGCCTCCATCAGCTCGCTGGTGGCCATGGCGACGCTGCTGGTGACGCTGCTGGTGCTGGTGCTGGCGCTGGTGTGCACCGTGCGGAACAGACGGAGCCCCGGCAATCGTCCCGGTGAGCGGCGGCGGCTACACAGATGTTGACTACCTCGCCTGGTGCGTAGGAAGTCGTGGGTTCGATCCAGACCCTGACGCCTGCTGCTGTATACTTGGAGTTTGCGTGTCTCTCTCTCATCATCATCTACTACACTATAAGAGTTTCTCTCCCCACGCTGCGTGCGATCTTCTCGTTCCCCAGCGATGGAGCAGCCAGCGACCGCCCCGAGCCTGCTCCCTGACAGTCCCGGCAGCCACCACCACCACTGCGACCACCACCATCACCGCCGCTGCGACCACGACCACCACCACCACCATCACCACGGTGGCGGCGGTGGAGGAGCAGAGCTGGCAACTCTAGAATCCCGCCCCCGGCCCTGGTT